TAAAGTTTGTTGGGCGCACTCGGAAGCGCTGTCGGTTCACTTTTCCTTGGTCTTTTCTTGATGCGCCAAACTGCGCCGTTGCAGGCTGCACAGGTTTCTTCTTCTCTGCTGGGGGACCTTTGCAGGCAGCACAGGTGTGTTCACAATAGGGTGAGAATGGTCCCTCGCAGTCCTTAGGGCATGTCTTCCTTAGCTTCGGGATGTCTATTTCTTCTGGTGGAGAGGTTATTACTTTTTGTTTTGCAATGTTTTGTATTGCAGTGTAGGTGTATGTGTGTGTGGCTGGTGTTTGGTTTTTTCGAATTGCTAGTTGGTTTTTTATGTACTCAACTTCAGCATGTAATTGTACTGAGTTGTTCCAACTTATTATGTTTGGGCTGTTTAACAACTTTAGCAATTCTGCCTTTCTGGCTTTCAATTTTTTTACCACACCGCCGCTTTTACACATCTCACTCTACTCACTGCGTGTTTATTTCTCCTCTTCTGTCTCCAATGTTCAACCATGAACCCGACTTCAGGACGTCTTTTGATTCCACCATGAATCTTTGATGATCCGGCGATCCTGCCAGGATGGTGATGTCTCTGCTCTATGTCACGATCGCCATGTGTTGTTACTCCAGTAACAAGGCAGGATTTGGCTGTTTAATGGTCGGAGCGCCTGTTGCTGTCGCTCCGAACTCTTTTATTGATATGTGTTCTGCATTTTGTAATTAGGTATAACTTAGCCTAACGCAGCGCAGTCTTCAGTGGCAGCGCTGCCCTTTTGTATATAAGTCGTTATATGTAATACGTATCTAAAACGAACATATATATCTTATATATAAGTAGCAAAAACGTCGCTGTTGCGATAGAGCGTGGCTTGCACATATATATCTTATGCAAGCGGTCTCTGCATGGGACATGCATGCTGACGCGGCTTGTCTGTGGTTCAAGTCATTTACTGCCGATCATATTTCGGATACTTGGACTGCACTTGAACGTGAAATATGTTTATGTAACAAAGACTAAGTGTCGTTTTCTTCTTATTTATGTTTATTGGTATATATTGGACATAGTGGACCACAATAGGACCACAATAGTCCTTTGCTCGACCGATTTTATATCGTTATAAAACTGTTCGTGCTTACGTACCTGGGGTTGGAACGAGAGTGGGGTTGGAATTTCTAATAAGTAGATTGAAAACATCTTCTTCTACAACTGAACTTTTAAGTTGTTTGGGCAAAGCCTGAGTGTAAATTTTGTACCATCTTTCTATTGCCTATCAATTCACTTTCTTTTCCATTTTGGTCATTATACTAAACTAACGTAACGTAAACGTAGCTTTATCTACGCTCGCTCAGCAACATTCTCTCATTTAATCATCTATTCTTTATCTATGCTCGCTCTTGTTATATACCGCTTGATATAGTTGGAGAACAGACCTTTTTTGTCCCCAATCAATTACTTTCGCTCGAGATCGGCTCGCTTGTCTCATCCAAGTGTATCACTCTCTAATACTATTGTAAAAGGCTCTGGCATCTTCGGCCACCCCCAACACACAAATCACCTATAATAAAATTTATAACCTTTCTGAAATCATTAATTTGTAACTTTCTTGAACAATTATAGTCAGCGAAAAAGCTCGTTGTCTTAACAATTGGTGACCCCGAAGGCTGTTGTCAATTATGATATTGCAATTATGATATTGCATTGGACATTTTAAACAATCGTTTCAATAATAAACGTTTAATCTTTCAGGCACACGTCGCTGAGATTCTGAGGCATGAGAAGGTTGAAGAAGGGTTGAAGGGTCAACTACAAAGCTACGTACTTTATCGGAAAAGCTTCATCCTCACATGACAGCGCTTAGGTCGATGGGTACCATGGAGGAAATAGCAGGATGCATCATCGTTCACTCCACATACAAGTATCTCCCAAGTCACCTTTAACTGGCTGGAAAGGGATCCAGCCACGCTAGCAACGTTTGTGGCCAATAGGGTTGCTGAAATCCAGGAATCTTCAAGTGGGGTGATTTGGCGGCACGTTCATACTCAGCAAAACCCAGCCGATTTAGTGTCACGTGGAACAGATGTAGACGGTGTAACGTGCTCTTTGTGGACTGATGGTCCACAATTTCTGCTCAGGAATTCTGAGGAGTGGCCATTTCTACATCAGGTTGAGTTGTCCCCAGAAATGGAATGGTCGGAAAACAAGAAATGTTTGGCAACACATTCAGTGGCAAAGTGTCAGGCCAATGATTACATCGAGTTGATTGAAAGATGCTCTTCTTTTGAGAAATTGCTTCGGATTATGGCATATGTCAACCGGTTCCTACAAGGAAGCAAGCTAGTTGTTGGCCAAATTTCGCTGGTCGTTCCGCATCTTCAACGACTAAACCCGTTCATACATACGAGCAAACTCGATGGAGTAACGCTTCGACTGATTCGAGTGGGAGGCAGGTTGCTCAACGCAGAAATTCCGTACGACGCCAAATTTCGTCTGCTGCTGTCGCAAAAGTCAAGTTCGTGACGCTCTATCTTCGCAATTTGCATCGGACTCACTATCATGCAGGCGCCAAAGTCATGGGTTCGTTACTAAGGCAGCAGATCTGGCTTATTAATGCTCGAGAAGCATTCACAAGGATCCTAAGAAATCGTGTGCACAGTTTCCGATACAAGCCAGTCCTACAGGGACAGATCATGAGAAACCAGCCAGCTGACAGAGTGCGAAGGGCTCGCCCCTTTATGATTTGTGTGGTAGATTTCTGCGGCCCATTCTACGTGTCTCTCAAGATTCGCGGCAGGCCCCTTATTAAGATATATGTAGCCGTCTTCGTCTGTTTTTTATCAAAAGCTGTTCACCTGGAGCTTGTTGCAGATTTGTCCACTGATAGTCTTTTATCTGTTTTTAGAAGGTTAATCGGTAGAAGAGGTCTTCCGGAGAAGTTGAACAACGACAACGCCACCAACCTCGTGGCCGCGAGCAAGGTGCTGAACGAGCTTCATCAAGGGTACCGGAGGGACCAGGACCGGCTCAAGGCGTACGCAGCGCGCCAAGGCGTCGAGTGGAATTTCATACCACCGAGAGCACCGCACTTCGGCGGATTGTAGGAGGAAGCCGGCAAATCCGCCATGCAAAGGTGGGTCCGCGGAGTTGGCAACGCCAATCTTACCGCGGACGAGCTGTGCACCCACCTGGTAGAGGTAGAGGCCCTTCTGCCAATCGCGTCCCCAGGCAACGGTCCCAGCGATGGAGAAGCGCTAACACCAGGGCACCTGCTGATCGCCGCCCGAATCAGATCAAGACGACAGATGCAGCATGGAAAGCTTCGCATATTTGAATCGGTAGCGAATGCTGTCAGCAGCAGTTTTGGCAGTGCTGGTCCAAGGACTACCTGGTCAACCTGCAGAAGCGTCACCAAAGGGCCAGACTTGGACATTGGCTGTCTGGTGCTCGTCCACGAGGACAACACATCGCTACAGAAGTGGACCACAGGACGAGTGTGGCCGTAATCGAGGGAGAATATGGGAGACTGCGTGTGGCCGAGGTGCGAATACCCACGGGCGTAATTAAACTCCACATGTTGTGAGCTGAGCTTTTGATCTCACAAGCGGCGCTCTTGTACTGCTCTCTGAGCATTCAAGATCGGCTCTGCGTTGGAGGTTCTGGCTGCGACCAGTCGAATAAATACTTTGAAGTCGACCACTTGTTTTATTGTTCTGATATTACTTGACAATTTGAAGTGAAAAAATCGCACCTAGAGCCGGCTGGACCGGAGTCATCGTAAATTTTAATTTGGAAAAATTGTTCCCAATTTTAATGTTAATTGAAGGTTTGAGGTTGGTCTGACAATAAGAAGTCTAATGAAATCTTTATTCGTCAGTCAAATTATAAGCGGTGCATACACATCGACAAGGACATGTTCGGCAAACGTACAAGCCAGCGTTCTCAATGCTATAGGAGTTACCTATCTCGATGCAGGATGCGTTTTTCACAGGACCCTTATCAGTTTTACAGCTTCGTAAAAAGTAGCTGGGAACGTCCGCACACCCATCCTCGCAATCATTTCGTAATACGTCGGCAAACGACGATAAGGAAATTTGCGATATTTTTGCGCAATTTTGCAAACTAGAAGGAAAGCTAATCTGGTCATCCGTATCCATACGATTTACTGAGGTCGAACGTCATTTTCAGTCCCTTTTTAAATGAATGTTGTCCACTTCATGATCTTCAACTAGTTAAGCCGGTGTTTTCACCGGGTCCAGACGTGGTTCCAGGTTGTGTACTCAGGTACTGCGCCGAGGCTCTGTGTGGACCATTGCTTAAACTATTTACTCTGTCCATTGATTCTTCCTGCTCCTCTTTCATTATTATAGGCTTCAAAGGAAACTTAACGGTAACTTAGAGGGATGTTATTTGTAACAACTTTAGTAAACCTTGGGACAAGGGCTGCATTTTGTCTGGGATCCGCGCGTAACAGCCTTCTGCTGACGTTACACGGGCCACTTGATGGCGCATTAATTGCATCGCCACTTGAAAGATGCAGCCATTGCATATCAACGCCCAGAATATTCTATATTTTTTTCCGCATATGTTTTTGATTTCAAAGTCAAATCTTTCAAAGGCCGTTTTTTATTGTAGCATTTTGGTCCTCTTCGTGACGTTTCTTACTATTATATTACCTTTGCTTTAAGTACGGAGTATATCGAGTTACAATTCCAGCTGTTAGATTGCATTATACGCTTATATACAAACCACAATTTTATTAATATCATAATTTTATTTATATTCTTGGATTTAAAAGAACAGCAAGTAGAATCGATAGTCGATAGCCGGTAGGATAATTATTTATATATCAAATTTGCAACTTTAGTTTTAAATGCCGTGAACTAAGCAATATTTGTATGCTAGTGTTAAACAAATGACACAAAATGTTACATATCCCATTTGGTGCTACAGGATTGTTTATAGCTTCCGAGACTGAGCAACAATTAGAAATAGAAAAATATAGCGTTCTACTGTATATGTGCGAAGTAGTATTCATTTCTGCGAATTATATTTTTGAAGCAATTTCAAGTGCAAGACTCAAGTCATTTATCAAATCATCGGAATCCTCAAGACCAACCGAAAGCCGTATAAGCGCATCAGAGATTCCTAAGGATTTCCTGTCTTCAATTGGAACAGATGCATGCGTCATTATGGATCTAAGAAATGAATATATAGAGTAGGTACGAAATTATTCAAGATATTATTTTGGAGCGACGGTACAAATGAGAACCTGAAAGATGATTGTTATTGATTGTTGAAAATGTTTACGAATAAGTATAGGAGACTAAAACGACTAATTCTCAATTTCTCTCAGTTCACTATCTGAAACTACAGTTAGTTACGTTTATAAGACATATATTCAGGCAGGCTCCGTTGTTCCCTTACTTTTGCGGATTACGTTTTCAGCTAAAACGTTTCCTTTTCGTTTTAAGGTGCTCCAGTTTTCCTATATTTTTGGATATGTTTCATCTTTAATCGTTTCTGGCTGACCTGGCTGCTGTGTAAAAATACAGCCTTTTATTTTTTCAATTGCTTGTTTTAAAGCAAAACGACGGCAGATCTAAGATCTAGACATCTTAGATGCAACACTTGAGTATCTAACATGTCTGACGAACTGTGAGTAACAGCATGCAAATTGAAAATTAAACTGCCAATGGTCAAGATTTCAGATTTGTGAAGTCATTTTGGATCGACAACAAACTTTCAAAATGATTGTGGAGAAAGACGACTTATGCCTTCCCCTGGATATAAAGAACAAAGCGGTAATTTTAGAATACAAAATTAATTTGCTGCACTTACATTTTTAACTCTGAATAAAATGGGGCGGGAAACAGCTGTGCTCACCCAGATGTTCTGTTAAGCGCATGCTACAAGCACAGTCTGAGCTGTTACATGGAAATTTGTTCTGTTATGTGGGAACATTTATTTCTTGCCAACCAAATCGGCTGTTTTTGCACCAAAACGAAAACTGTTGTTATGTATAAAGAAAGCACAAGTTAGGCCGTCAGCCATCGGGTGCTACAGGGGGTTAAACGGATGACGGGGTAGGGCTTGCCCTGTATTTTTGTTTGTGCCCCACACCCCGAGGATAAGGACGGTTGCGAGCGAGCCGTCACCTGCCGTAACTGTACACACCGGTGAGGGTGCAACTACACTTTTCCCGTGAAGGTGGCTGTTATATGCCGAAGGATGCATGGCCGAGAGGGTGCTCAAATATTAAAAACAAAAACATTGCAAGGGAGCTCGGTACTGTTTTTATAGTAGGATGGACAAGACCATTCCTCTACATCAACGCCTGGGAAACCAGGTCTAAGAAAGACGGGGAAGGAGACTCAGTCGGACCACCGTCTTCAAGAAGCAGCCTGAGCGAGGGGGGGCCCGAAAAGCCAATCGGGTCGTTCCAAGTCTGGTGGATCCAAGGGCGAATCGCGTACCGGTGTGGGTGCTAAGCAGAGCGTAATCGCGGCTGGTAAGCGCTCCGGGACCGAAGATCCCATGGGAGCCCCGGCGGCCTGCGTCTCTGCACTACGGGGAGGCAAGCTGTCGTGCTAGGACAGGAGACGAGCGGCCTTTTATCCTCGCCAACGAGGACCCCAACTACAGGTCGTCAACCGATGGAGTTGAGCAGAGTCTGGTGGCCACCTTAACCATGCCGCTTGATCAGCCAAGGCCCCCAATAAACAACAACGCTTAGCGGAGGACCCCGCTACTCAGACAGACCAAGCCCAGCAAGCCAAGCGGGTGAAAACCCACCTCAACAACCGATCGTTCGCTGAGGTGGCGAGAGGCAAGACCCTAATCGGCGTCCTGGACAGGGGCGCCGAGGACGGCCATGTCCCTCGGGACAAGTGGCATCTAGTGGAAAACGAGCTTCAGGACCATTTCCTACAAGAACTGGAGGAGAATGGCGGACCACCGCCAAAGTGTGAGGACGCAGGGTGGCATTAAGGCAAGGTGAAAGCCATTGCCTGCCAAGAAGCTCGCTCTGCGGCCCTCTACATGAAGGCGGTAGATGCCCTCGTGGAGGTCTACCCAGGGGCCAAGCTGGAGGCCGTGAAATGGGAAGATGGCCCCAGTCGACCGAGAGCCAGAGCATGGGTGACGACTAAGCCTGCAGATCCTGAGAAGATCCTCAGGTTACTGCAGGTCTACAACCCCCACCTTGCTACAGCCGATTGGAAGGTTGCCAAGGCAGAGGACATCCAGGGGCAGAGGCGCCAGATTATCCTCGTCCTAAATGACGAGTTGCTAGAGCCCCTCGCCAAAACGGACGGTGTGGTCGACTACGGGTACAAAAAGGTCACCATAACAACCTATAAGTCGGATCGCAAGGGCAGGCAAGCGGAGGTCGAGCCAGACCCGGAGCTGCCGAAGATCCCGAAAGAGGGGCCCTCGTGCGAGTAAGACAACCCGGCGTCGGATGCGGCGTCCATGATGTCGGACGACATCTTGGATGATTACACATTCGGTGAGAGCGACCTAGCCAGAGGTCTCAGCCACATCGTTGTCGGGGTGGAGCCGGAGTTCCCTGACAGCGATCTAGAAACTAAAATGGTGGAGGTAAGCCTCAGGAATGTCATTGACGCTCCTGCAGATAAACCTTCACCATTGTAAGGCAGCATGCGCTGCTCTATTGCTTCACCTGGCCAAGGGTGGAGCCGACATAGTCCTCATTCAGGAGCCCTGGATCCTCGGAAACAGGGTCTCCGGTCTGAGGACTTTAGACTACAAGCAATACGTAGCTGAAACCGTAGGTAAAACTCGTACCTACATTCTTGCAAAAAGAGAGTTGCACTTATTTTTGCTCCCAAATTTCCACAATGAAGACCACACCGCAGTGAGCCTCAAAGGCCAGGAGCGCTCACTGAGGATCTGCTCCGCATACATGGGGCATGATCAGCCAGACACCCCTCCACACGCGCCTCTCCGGGCTTTAATCGCAGACTGTGCGGCCAAGGACATCAGCCTAGTTGTGGGGTGCGACGCCAACGCACATCAGAGCCAGTGGGGAAGCACTGACACAAACGAAAGGGGTGAGTACCTTTTCAGTTACCTTCTGACCACTCAGATGGTCTTATTAAATCGGTACTCTGACTACCTCTGTAGTGTTCTCCATGAGTCCCCACCACAGCCAAGCAGCTATTAAAGTTTTACTATCAGTTTTACAGTCACCCGAGCAATCCCGGGACACTGGCAGTTAGGCACTCACGCCTCTAGACTGTCAATCCCTCATAACGACTTCTGCAGGAGTTGTCGCGACTAGGAAGAGGAGGAATCAGTCCCCCCTTCTTCTGCCACTGCCCGGCTCTTGGAAATCGTCGTCTTCGGATTGTTGGACACGGACATTTCGGACCTATCCGATATCAAACCAGAGACCTTGTCCAAATTCATCATAGCCTCCGAATGGGACTGCCCTTAACCTGCAGTAGTCTGCTCTCACGGTTCAGGCAACGAAAAGGGCACAAGCCCATGCGGCAACACAATGGACCTCTTATAGGTCCAAGTGAGCTTGGGGGCGCTGGTTTTTTATCCCCCCTTCCAGGCTAACGCGTTAACCTAACCTAAGCTAAGCACAAGTTAAATTACCCTGATATAGGTGTCAAGTTTGTTTTAATGCAGCAATAAGTCATCTAGTTAATTCCTTTTGCAATTAAGTTTCTTTTTATACCAGATACTCAAAATGAGTATTGGGGTATATTAGATTTGTGGTAAAAGTGGATGTGTGTAACGTCCAGAAGGAATCGTTTCCGACCCCATAAAGTATATATATTCTTGATCAGCATCAATAGCCGAGTCGATTGAGCCATGTCCGTCTGTCCGTCCGTCCGTCTGTCCGTCTGTCCGTCCCCTTCAGCGCCTAGTGCTCAAAGACTATAAGAGCTAGAGCAACGATGTTTTGGATCCAGACTTCTGTGATATGTCACTGCTACAAAAATATTTCAAAACTTCGCCCCGCCCACTTCCGCCCCCACAAAGGACGAAAATCTGTGCCATCCACCATTTTAGAGATATGAGAAAACCAAAAACGCAGAATCGTAGAGAATGACCATATGTTATAGACTGCAGAATCTGAATTGGATCGTATAATTATTATAGCCAGAATCAAGAAACCAATTTTATTCTTTCTCGCTCTGTCTCTCTCTAACACACAGGTTTCATTGTCGGTTTTGCCAATTGTAAAATATGAGTTCAAGGATCTCAGAACCTATAAGAGCCAGAGCAACCAAATTTGGTATCCATACTCCTGTGATATCGGACCTTGACCGTTTCGTGTCCAAATTTCGCCACACCCCCTTCCGCCCCCGCAAAGGACGAAAATCTGGGGCATCCACAAATCTCAGAGACTATTAAGGCTAGAGTAACCAAATTTGGTATCCGCACTTCTTAGATCTCACTATAAAACGTATATCTCAGAATTTCGCACCTTTTGTCGTGTCGTTTAATATTAGCGGCGTCTGCCGGAGGAGAGCCATACTGACTAAGCATCGGGTATAAATGTAGAGTTGCGGTGTCCGCAGAACTTACAACGTTCCCCCTCGTTTTTGTATAAGTCGTTTACTTTTCATTTGGTCAACGAAAATGTTTTCGTTTTGAAAACGAAGAAATCTTGGGGGTGTAAAACGCTTTCAAATTTATGTAATTTCAATCAGAAAACTTTTGTGAAAGTGTAAGACGGAGCCTGGCCGATATTATAAGACATAAGACCGCTTTTCTAAAACCAAATATTCAGCCAGGCTGCGGTTTTACTTTTACAAAAAATTTTCTATTTAATCTCGAAATCACATAAGCTGGTGCTCCTGTTTTCACATTTTCAAAACAAAAACATTTTCCTCGACTTAATGAAAAGTGAACGGATTTCACAGCTGTTTCTCGCCACATTTGATTCATATATTTCAGTTTTTTCTTTTTATTTCAATAATATACGTTCAACAAATTCATTTGTGACCATGAGCAATTATAATTGTCAATATAGATGCTGTTACAGTCTTCAAACATTTTAAGTACACAGGTGATGCATTTAAGATGTCTTTATCTTCTTTAATGGCGGACTTTTTTTACATCCTATGCTTCAAAGCAAGCAATGGGAAAAATAAAGCCAGGTGAGCCGTTTTTGTTTGCCAGAATCGATTAGAAAATGAAACATAACGATATCAAACATTTTTGGAAACGGGAGCATTTTGGTTGAAAGCGTAATCCGCCATAGTAAGTGAAAATTGGTGCCTGTCTGATTACATTATCTTAAAGTGAACCAAGCTTTTTATGCGCGGATACTAGCAGTAATTCTAAAAACGACCAATGAGATCTTCCAGATGAAAAGTGCATTACAAATGTTAATTGCGTTAATACCAGCTATGTTTTTTTACCTACCCTTTTAGGGTACAGTATTGGTAATTCGTACTTAGTACGTACTACTTACGGTAATTCGGCCAAGCTTTCGTATCCTCCGAGACTCTCAGCTAATGTAAAAAGCTTTAGAGCTTTTAAAAAGGCAGTAGAGTGCTTTAATTCTCCTTTTATATAAAAAGAGAACACTCCGCTATACCCGTAGGTCTGTTTAAGCGCGACTTGGTGCTGAGGGTGTGAAGGTAAAGCAGGATGCAGTACCTTATCTACAAACTCATGTGCTTCCAGAAATTTAGCTATTTTAATGGCGTTGTGTTGATGTTGCTTCATTCGGAGTGAAAGAGTTTTAAGACTACGATTTACTTGGTAGCAGTCGAATGGCGAGGGAACTATACCAACAGCTGAGAATAAGATTATATTATACGTATTACAAGCAATTTTTCTTTAAGTTGTGGACATACCATTTTGCAAAAACTTCAGACTGTCATAGAGATTATCACAATTCATGGTGATTCCACCCATTACCACATCAGTATGCCCATTCATGTATTTGGTAAGTGAATAACATACCAAATCAGCACCCAATTCAAGAGGCCTTTGGAAATATGATGTCAGAAACGTATTGTCCACGGCTAAAATTAAATCATCTCTGATGTCGTGGCATATAGTTGCTATTTCTTTTATATCCGCAACTTTAATTAAAGGATTGGTCGGAGATTCAATCCATATCAGCTAAAAAAAAAATAAAAATAATAACGAAAGATCAAAATAGGTGAATGGAAAATCCAAAAAAATGTAAATAAAATAATAATAATAAAATAATATAGTTCTTAACGGACCCGATCATATAATTATTTAAAAGTCCAGAGCAACTGGCAATTGCGGACATTTCGTTACAGGATTTGCTTTCCCTACAATTTTAAAATCCCTCAGAAAAAGAAAACTTGTAAAACCAGACCGAAATACCTTTCCAGGTTCCAGGTCCAATTTTTAATTTTAAACATCGTCAATTTTTGCATTCCTGTCGTTTACCAATACTGCAATAAGCATATTGATAATTATGAGTCATAGTTTGGTTTAACTATTACATCTGCCCTCTTTCAAAGCTTACGCTCGTGTTAGCAAGCGCACAGCGTATTTCGCGCAGAGCATTTACGCTCTTTGCCAGATTTAAAAATTCCTGTAACACAATTGAACACACTAAGTTTAAGTTTCATGTTTGCAACGCATTTAAATGACAGGATAAATAAAATTATTCATTTATGTCAAACTGAAATGACAAAAAATTAGGCGAGTACTGATTACTTTGAACTGTAATTGTTTTGGGATCGGTTCCGAAAGTTAATCACTTTTTAGCTTTAGCTTACCATCTGGTAAATATTAAGCTTTCAAATGTAAAACTGATCAATTTACTTGCGGTATTTTTTTTTAGCCCAGGAAACGTCGAACAAAAACATTTTTTTGTGTGTTTTTATACCCGATATTATTATTATTAGCCTGATTTGGGTCCCGGGCCACCAGGACATCGAGGGCAACTGTATAGCGGACGAGCTGGCCAGATCTGGCACTACAATCCTCTTCTCCAAGACAAGGAGGATATCTGTATGCCAATGGCCACCTGTAAGCTTATTATAAAAGAGCAATACAAGCGAATAACAAACGATATGTGGCAAATAGTGCCACGATGGCGCATAACTCGGCAAACATGGCTGACCATGGACAAGAAGCGCACCTCCGAGCTCTGCAAGCTAAGCAGGAAAAGGTGCAGCGTAGTCATACGCTCCCTCACGGGACACTGGCTAATAGGCACCCACGCTAACAGACTGGGGGCCCCACATAACGATTTTTGTCGCAGCTGTAGAGACGACGAAGAGGAGGAGACAGTGGAACACCTGTTCTTCTCCTGCCCAGCTCTCAGCAGAAGAAGGCTACAGCACTTGGGCTCAGCCTTTCTACACGACATTTCAGAAATGTCCAAACTATGTCCCAGGAAGATAGCGAACTTTGTGAGACCATCTGGATGGGATAATTGCATACAGGAACTCTCACAACGCAGGAAGGAATGATCCTATGCGGTATCACAACGGGCCGAAACCGGCCTAAGTGTGACGCGCTCCGAGAGAGCCGCCTCAACCTAAACTAACCTATACCCGCACCGCTTACTTCCGCCCCCACAAAGGGCGAAAATCTGTGCCATCTACAATTTCAAAGATAAGAGAAAACAGAAAATACCGAATCGTAGAGGATGACTATATCTTCTAGAATGCAAAATCTGAACCAGATCGTATAATTATTATAGCCAGAATCAAGAAAACAATCTCACTCTCTCTCGCTCTGTCTCTCTCTAACACACAGGTTTTATGGTCGGCTTTGCCTATAGATCGCAGATACTATAAGAGCTAGAGCAACCAAATTTTTGATCCACACTTCTGTGATATCGGACCTTGACGAGTTAGTTTCAAAATTTCGCCCCACCCCCTTCCGCCCACAGAAAAGACGAAAATCTGATGCATCCACAATATTGAAGATACGAGAAAACTAAAAACGCACAATCATAGAGAATGACCGTATCTATAAGATTGCTGAATCTGGATCAGGTCGGAACATTTTTATAGCCAAAAAGAACAAATTAATTTGCGGTCGCCGCAGCCACTCACAACGTTCCCCCTCTTTTTATACCCGATACTCAAAATGAGTATTGGGGTATATTAGATTTGTGGTAAAAGTGGATGTGTGTAACGTCCAGAAGGAATCGTTTCCGACCCCATAAAGTATATATATTCTTGATCAGCATCAATAGCCGAGTCGATTGAGCCATGTCTGTCTGTCCGTCTGTCCGTCCGTCCGTCTGTCCGTCTGTCCGTCCCCTTCAGCGCCTAATGCTCAAAGACTATAAGAGCCAGAGCAACGATGTTTTGGATCCAGACTTCTGTGATATGTCACTGCTACAAAAATATTTCAAAACTTTGCCCCGCCCACTTCCGCCCCCACAAAGGGCGAAAATCTGTGGCATCCACAATTTTAAAGATACGAGAAAACCAAAAACGCAGAATCGTAGAGAATGACCATATCTTTTAGACTGCAGAATCTGAATTGGATCGTATTATTATTATAGTCAGCATCAAGAAAACAATTTCATTTTTTCTCGCCCTCTCTCTAACACACACGTAGCATAGGCGGCTTTGCTTAGAGTAAAACATTAGCGCCTAGATCTCAGAGACCATAAAAGCTAGAGCAACCGAATTTGGTATCCACACTCCTAATATATCGGACCGAGACGAGTTGGTTTCAAAATTTCGCCACACCCCCTTCCGCCCCCGCAAAGAATGCAAATCTTGGGATATTCACAAATCTCAGAGACTATTAAAGCTAGAGTAACCAAATTTGGTATCCGCACTTCTGTTAGATCTCACTATAAAACGTATATCTCAAAATTTCGCCCCACCCCCTTCCGCCCACACAAAGGACGAAAATCTGTTGCATCCACAATATTACAGATTTGAGAAAACTAAAAATGCAGAATCATAGATAATGACCATATCTATCAGATTGCTGAATCTGGATCAGATCAGATAATTTTTGTAGCCAAAAGGAACAAATCAATTTGCATTGGCTACGCAGCGCCCGACGTCACGCTCAGACTGATTTTCTGTCTCTCTCGCACGCACTCTTTGTCGTGTCGTTTAATATTAGCGGCGCTGCCGGAGGAGAGCCATACTGACTTAGTATCGGGTATAACTGTAGAGTTGCGGTGTCCGCAGCAACTCACAACGTTCCCCCTCGTTTTTTTTTGTTTACATACATTAACTATGCTTCGTTTAAGGTATCATAGCTGAAAATCTATAGATAATGGTTAAGGTGCAGCCGTTTGACGTTTGTACCTTGCGTGAACTACTCGGTAGTTCCTCTTCTTTCTCGTTGACATAAACGGGAGCCGGAGAGTTTAATGCAAGGTGCTGAAGGGTCAGCACCTTTTTCAGTGCGGTAAATATCCTTAGTGGTAGGCGCTGAAGTTATATTTACATACGTTGACGTATTGAAAATATGGTTTCTTGCACCGAGAGCTTGTGATTATGTTCAGCGTCCAGATCGCAGACTCTTTGCATTATTGCTCGCGCCACGCTCAACTCTTTTCCAAGGAACACCACTCAGTCTCTAGGCTGCTGTATTTGACCTGTTATTAAGACAAGTTTTTTAAAGTTAATCAAATTCGCCGACTCCTTTAAAATTTATTTCAGTAGTTGTTCTGTCAATATAAGAAAAAGTGGAGTGGTACTTATTTTTGGGACGGGATTATATTTTCTTATTCTAAATCATAAGAAAATATAAATCTATTAGAGCGATATTTGGTGTAGCTGCTATAGGAATAGCGTACTTTTCAACATTAAGCTCAAGGCTACACCTATAAATATTCTTGAATCGGGACACAACTTTCTATTTTACTGTTTTGTACCAAAATAAACATTTTTAGAACTTTTTTAGGTGCTGTTGCAAAGGAAGAACCAAGCAGATGTGAAACAGATGATATAGGATGATTAACACAGACGTGGCGATATATGGACGACGAAATTCGAAATATCGTGTCGAAGATCGTATCCGTCAATTGGAAGTGATAATTAAGTGATGACTATGACGCTGTTAAGCGTATGGATATGGAGGTGACCACATACGGCAATTTCACAGCCTGAAGGAGGTTACAACGGTAGGCGTTTCTCCTGGCCAAGCCGATTTTCTGGTAAGATTCTAGACTAATGGTTTTATCGTCGGTGTCAGGGATAAAGAAACGCGTTGCGCAATGGTTTTGATGCAAAGAAGGACGATCGAAGCAGCAGTCATTCAAACGCCGACTTCTGAAGCTTTGCTCTTAATAAGCCGTCCATCGCAGAAAGCGCATCTTGTACGGACTGCGGTGAATAATGGTAATCATCTGGAGCTTCATAGGGAGCAGAACTTATCTCCAGAGCAACTCAGGGACTCGAGATGTGTCAATCTCACTATCAGAGGCATAGTACATGGAAACGAATGTGTGTTGACTTTGGACACATGTGCTTCTCATTTAATAATTAGAGCTGGCTTACTTAAAGGAAAGGTTGAGCCTCTACTTTGGATACGACTACAGCTTCAGCTACACAGAAGCTTGAAATTTCGAAAGCAAATTTAGAGCACAACTTTGCTGTAGCTGATCCCATGGACGACATCTTAATCGTAGTGGAATTTTTGATCCGTTATGGTTGTACATTCAATGAAAGAGTTCTGAGAAATAGCAATATGGAATTGCCCGTAAGGGAAAACGGGTTTGTGAGCAAGATTTTCACATCGAACAAAAAAATGTCAAGAGAAAGATCGACGCGGAGTCCAGACAGAAACCGATACAAGGATCGATAAGGTTAACATGCTGGACTTTGAAACCGAGATAGCCCAAGAGATAGTTCGAGCTTAAAGCTGAATAGAAAAGGTGTGAAAAAGCCAGTTTACGTCCAAAAGAAAGTGACAAAACATTACAATTTTCTCAGGAAAGAAAAACACTCCAAGTGTAAAAATATGAATATATTTTACATTTTTGGACCCCTAATTCTATCAGAAATATTTGGTTTGATGCCAAATTTTTAATGCTGTTCCATAGTGTAACCATCTGAAAGCTGTACAGAATCCGTTGAAATAAACTTAGTATTATTCTTGGAATTGTTTTTTTGTATAACTTCCTCTGAGGTGATGAACTTGCACGCTCGGAA